CCCTCGGCCTTGTTTTTTTTTTTTTTTTCCAAGGTTTTGGATTGAGGATTTTGCAGTTCATCATAAAGTGAATGCTAAAGATTTAAAGTTCCTAATTCAGCCCCCTCTTTTCATTCCTTCTGGATAAACTAGTCGGAGAAGGGAAATGGCTGACCTAGAATCTCATGACCAGCAGCTTTGTGACTGAGCCAGGGTGGGAACCCAGGCCTTAGGCCTGCCCTCCCTGTCCTGATCAAACACCGCCCTTCCCAGCCCCCATCACCTTTCCAGAGATACCTTTTGGAGAACACCCCTCCCTGCAGAGCCTGCCTGAGGAGACCCAGGGTTTCCCAGTCAGGGGCTCCAGCCCTACAGCCAGTGGAGTTTGGAAAGAGGTAGCCCCAAAGAGGGGGGAGATGATGGAGGGGACCCACTTTCGGAGCCATTCCTAATCCATTGGGGGATGGGGGTAAAAAGAGTCCCTTCTTCACAGAGGAAGACATACAGGGCTTAGGTGTTGTGTTTGGTAAATTCCGAAGGGCTGCAGGGTGTCTCCAGCTGCTGCATGGGGGTGAGGTCCTACATAAAGTCAGAGAATCCCCACCCCAGAGCCTAAGAGAGTTTAGGAGAGGCATTCACTCTGATCTGGCTTTGGAGGACACCCAAAGTCAGTCGCTGCAGAGCCCAGCAAAGTACCTGTGCCCTTGGCTGCTAGGTCCAGCAGAGAAAGGCCTCTGGTTGGGTACATGGCCCTGGCAGGAAATGTCCTTTCACTCAGCCTTGGAATTCTAGCTTGAAAGCCTCTTCTTTGAGAAACCTTCCCTGACAGCCAACTCCACCCCAGTGAGCATTTCCTTCTTTGATGTTCTGAGATGCCATCCTGGGAACTCCACCATGAAGCTGCTGAGTGGCTGCTTCCTTCCAGAGGAAGAAGTTGGTGATAGGAAGGTTTTGAAAGTCATATTCATACAGGTTTATAGCCCAGCGCTCAGGAAGTGGTGGCTCAGCTGGTGTCGAGTAAGCCAGGGGGGAAGGCAACCCCTCAGGGAAATCACAAGTCTCTAGCAGCGAGTCCTCCACGCCCTGTGTATGTACGAGGCACGTGGGTTCTCCAGCTGCCCAAGGAGGGGGTCTCCCCTACAGAATGCCTTTTTCAGAGCTCCAAGACTTCAGGGTGAAAAGCTCTAAGCCAGGTGCCACTGGAGTGTTTTCTTGGAAAAACTTGTCTCTATCCATTGCAGAAGAAAATCCATTTTGAGTAACATGTTCTTCCTCCCTGCAGGACACACCTGGCCATGGGCTTTAACCAACCTTGCACACTTTTTGAGATTCTCTGTCCAAAGACACCTGGACCTGGCCACCTTCCTTTTCTTACTCTGGATCCAGAGTCAATTTCTTTCTCTCCTCATCCTCTCCTATCTCCCAGTTTTAAGACTGCTCTGCATTCACTCTGAGCCCTGGTAATGAGAGTGTATGTGAATACTCCTGCCAAGCCGAAACTCAAGTGGGAAAGGGGGGTACAGGTATGCTGGGAAATCGATGAGAACCCGTGGTTTGGGGACATGGAACTCTCTCTCCCCTAACTTGAAGCAATTCAGATGTGTGTATGTGTGCATAATTGTTCCTATGCTAGAATGTTCTGTATTTTCAAGTACGCACACCAGTTAGCTGACTTTTACATTCGTGGGTCTGTGTAGGAGACAAGTGCTGCATGTGCTTTATTCTGGGATTTTGCTCTTCTCCCTCGGGTATGCAGACGTGTATACAGTAGCCTACACTCTGCAATGAACCATAAGTGAGCCTCCCTTTCATAGAGGAGCACTAGTGTGAATCTCTGGAGACGTCTGTATGTGGGAGTAGAATGTGGCATTTGAATGTAGCCTGTGTGTAGTTACCTACATGTAACAGAGGCTTGTATACGTGGGTACATGTCCATTCCAGCCTTGCCTGGGTACTAAGGTTTAGAGGTGAGTCCTACAGAAGGCCTTGAAAATGGGGTCAGGGAGACCCGCCTGCCATATTTCCCGTACCCTCCCAGGAGCCGTCAAACTGGACTCTCTCGGAGTTTGTCCTAGTTCACGCAAGGCTTCAGCCTCATGCGGCGCCAGAAAAGGCAGGGCGCCGCATGGGCAAAAGTCCAGAGGGCCCATCACTCGTGCCGCCTCGGGGGCCTGCAGGAGCTGCGGTGTCGCAACTAAATCGGGGCCCCTGCCGGAAACGGAAGCTGGCACTAGGGGTGGTAAGACGCAGTCGCAGCGGTCGCGGCGTGCCAGATCGAGGCGCCCCGCGGGGGCGTGCGCGCGGCGCGCGTGCGGGGCAGGCTGGGCGCCGGGAGGCACCCTCCCAACCCCTGGCGTCTGTTTACCAACAAACTACCCGCGCTCAGCCGCGGCGCATTCCGACGCGCTGAATAATCCGCTGGTGCTGACTGTCTGCACTCGACTCCCTTGCAGGCCCGTGGCGGCGGAACCAGGACCACGGTGCAGACCTCTGAGAGCTGGAGAGTGCGGGCGCAGGTTTTAGGCGTCCAACTTGGCAGCTCCCCTCGCCTCTTGGGCATCCAGGCCCATCCCCTCCCTAGTATTTCTGCCGTTTTTTCCCCAGGTTCCCAGACTGCAACGGTAACCCTGCAGTCCCAACACCTCTTTCGGAAGAGACCCCGAGACAGATGGGCCTGGAACTTGCGCACCGCCCCGCTCCCATTTCCCTGTTCTGTATTCTCTGGCTCACCCAGGGGGGCGGACCCGGGTTCCGGGCTTCGGTGAAGTCACTGCGTGCGGTAGCCAATCTCGGGCGTCTAGGTGGGCGGGGCGCCATCGGGTCCCAGGACGCGAACCCGCAGGAGGGGAGGGGGGGCC